ATCTGTTCTGTTTTCCAATGTTTGGCATAGACAATGCGGGCGGCTGTAGTAATATATGTAAATATAATGTCTTCATTTCTGTCTAACTTTAATTCTTTGTCTGTTAAGCCTAATAAAAAATATTCTGGTTTTAACGCAATTTTTCTCTTCAAAATCTTTTGAGATTCCTCCTGTATGGAACTCCAGTATCTGGTGGCTTCTTTGCAGGTCCACCACATGTGGTAGAAACTTCCTGTTTGTGCTTTGCATTTCCAACAGTTACTCCTACTGTTTTTAGACATCTCCCAATTTTTTGAGGAGAGATATACCATCTTTGGAATATTTTCATCCAATTTTCTTTTAGGTCTGCTGAATATGTGTATTTTAGTTTCTTGGACTAAATCTTTTGCCATTCCTGTAATTACATTTGTCTACCAATATATTTTGCCCATTTCGTCATACAATTTTTAATTCCTTCTGTTTCTGTCGCCCATTCTAAAAGTTTGCCTTTTTTTGTTTGAATTCTGTAATGCTCAGAAGTCAGTTTCATTTTCAGCGCAAGCAAGTGAGGTGAAGCCAAAAAGGCTGCCATTCTCTTTAAATTAAGACACGATAGGCTGCCTCTCGCCATGAGGAGAGGGAACCACCTAAGCGGGATGAGCTGAGTGAGCTGGGAAAGAGACTGAAAGAGCACAGAATTCTGGAAAATGTAGTTTAGGAAGGCACACCTGGAATACCGTGTCCAATTCTGGGCACCACAGTTCAAGGGAGAGGTTGAAAAGCTAGATTGTCTCCTTTTTTTTTTTTTGAATAATTTTTATTGAGATTTTTGCATTGCGATACATCAAACAGGGTGTTAATCATTGACATATCAATTATTATTCTAAAAGAGGGGGTTAGGGTATGGTGGGTAGGTAAGGCGGGCAGCTGCCAAGGGAAGAAAAAAAACAAAACCCAAAACCAACTAAAGGTAAGAGGGGGGTTGTGCTGGGGTTGGAAAGTGGGACGTGGAGTGTGTTAGACTTCTTATTTACTGATTGTGATCCTTTATAGCTTTGTTAGTATTGATATTGTCTGCTGAGGTTGTCTTCTTTTCTTCTCTCAAATTTTCTATATCCATTCTTAACTGGCTTCTAGATATTTCTTGATTGGAGACCAGTTGGTTTTGCTCACCCCAGTCATCTGCTTAGATCTCATGAATTGTGTCAATGAGTCCATATTCATAATATCCATTAGTTTTAATTTCCAGTCGCCTACCGTTGGTATTTCCTCATTTTCCCACTTTCTTGCTAACACTTGTCTTGCAGCAGTTGCCATATGGAAAAAGAGCTTATCTTTATTCTTTTCCACTTCAAAGTCCAATATTCGAAGTAAGTAGTACTCCGCTTTCATTTCTTTTCTTAGTTCAAGTATTTTATTTGTTATTCTGTGTATCTCTGTCCATTTTTTTTAACTTTCTGACAGGTCCACCAGAGGTGGAAAAAGGTACCTTTCTTGTCTTTGCATTTCCAACAGTCTTCAGATACATTTTTGTAATACTTTGCTAACTTACTTGGTGTGAGATACCACTGGAACACCATTTTTATCCAGTTTCCTCTCAGATTGTAAGAATTTGTCCATTTTAGTTTAATCTTCCAGATCTTTTCCCATTCTGATATTCCTATGGTATGTCCTAGGTTGGCTGTCCATTTTGTGATGTAACTATTGGTATTATTATCCAAAGGAGAGCGACTCAAATGATCAAGGGTTAGGAAAACAAGCCCTATGAGGAGCGGCTTCAAGAGCTGGGCATGTTTAGCCTACAGAAGAGAAGGCTGAGATGAGGGCTATGGATCAAGATGTGAGGGGAAATCATAGGGAGAAGGGAACAGGTTTGTTTTCTGCTGTCCTGGAGACTAGGACGCAATGGAGCAATGGCTTCAAACTACAGGAAAGGAGATCTGAAATGCTGGGCCACTCTAACAACGACCTTGTCAGACTAAACAGAGAAGCCACTGAAATCTACAAGCATGGGGACAATTTCAACAAAAAGGAAGGAACCACGAAAACGAACAAAATCTGGCTCCAAGTATTTAAAAACTCTAAAATCATAACAGTAAATAAAGAACACCACTCAAAAACAGGGGAACTCCAGACAAGAAACCATCAGGGACAGCTAATCACCTCCCTACAAAGGATTTCTCCAGGCAGTAAGAAGCCACACCTTGAAAACTGCTAGGGTTTTCATTAAATGCTAATTAAGGTGGCCAATTGAAACATTCACACCTACCTCAGACAGACAAGAGTTCTTTCCCCCACCTGGGACATTCCAGAGATATATAAACCCAATTTTCCTCGTTCCCAACAGACCTCACAATCTCTGAGGATGCCTGCCATAGATGCAGGCAAAACACCAGGAGAGAATGCTTCTGGAACATGGCCAGACAGCCTGAAAAACTTACAACAACCCAGTGATTGGCAGAGAAGGGACTCTTTGCTAGTATAAGTTTATATTTCGTAAATTATAATTTATCAAATTTATTATTGTTGTTTGATGAATAGAAATGTGATGGCTTAGCCCAAAGGCTATAATCAGTCATGTTACAGACAGCATTCATTAGTAATAACTCAAATTATCTCCTGCCCTTTTAAATGGTGCAGACAGGTAACTAGAGGCCACACACTCATTCTTGGTACATAACAAAGTTAAAGGTAGCAATGACAACAAATGCCACCAGATGGTGGTCAAATTCTTCCTTCCCGAACCCCCAAACCTCTGCATTGTACTTAGCTTGAAAAAAAAATAGAACAGAATGAAAAGTAAGTCAGAAACAGGAGTCTCTCTCTCTTTTTCTCTCTCTAGGTCTGTCTCCCTCCTCTTTTTCTTGTCACTTTTTTTGTGACATTCCACTCACACACACAATTTTTTTGCATTGTAATGCAAAAGAAGTGGAAGAAATCCCATACCTTGTGAAATCTGATCTGGCCATGGTCACCTCTAGGTTGGATTACTGCAATGCGATCTACGTAGGGTTGCCCTTGAAGATGGCCCGGAAACTACAGTTGGTCCAGAGATCTGCAGCCAGACTACTCACGGTAGCTGGTTACCGAGAGCGGTCAACCCTCCTGTTTAAACAGCTCCACTGGCTTCCAATAAGTTTCCGGTCCCAATTCAAGGTGCAAGTCCTCTATATATATAAAAATGCTCTGTGCGTAACGAGTACCTTAAAAACAAAAGAACCAATGAACGAAATCACACCAAATTTGGTAACAAAACGTCTCACAACACAAGGAGTGACCATCACTCAAAAAATTATGATTTTGTCATTTGGGAGTTGTAGTTGCTGGGATTTATAGTTCACCTACAATCAAAGAGCATTCTGAACTCCACCAACGATGGAATTGAACCAAACTTGGCACACAGAACTCCCATGACCAACAGGAAATATTGGAAGGGTTTGGTGGGCAGTGTCCTTGGTTTGGGAGTTGTAGTTCACCTACATCCAGAGAGCACTGTGGACTCAAACAATGATGGATCTGGACCAAACTTGGTACAAACATTCCATATGCCCCAATATGAACACATATGGAGTTTGGGGAAAATAGACCTTGACATTTGAGAGTTGTAGTCACTGGGATTCACAGTTCACCTACAATCAAAGAGCGTTCTGAACCCCACGAATGACAGAATCGGGGCAAACTTCCCACACAAAACCCCCATGACCAACAGAAAATACTTAACTAACTAAAGAACTAAACCATCTCCTTGGTTCAGTGAGGAGCTGGCAGCAATGAAGTGAAGAAAGAGTAGACTAGAGTGCAGGTTGCGTACTAAACGTAGCTAGTCAAACCATAGAATCATAGAATCATAGAATCAAAGAGTTGGAAGAGACCTCATGGGCCATCCAGTCCAACCCCCTGCCAAGAAGCAGGAATGTTGCATTCAAATCACCCCTGACAAATGGCCATCCATCCTCTGCTTAAAACCAAACACGGCTGTGTCTCTATGTAAGGACATATGCTGCGGCAATTGACACCGCAATTTTTTTTTAATTTAAAACATTTATATTCTGCCTTTCTCACCCTGCGGGGGACTCAGGACGGAGCACAACATATATACGGCAAACAGTCAATGTCGGGACATAAAACCATAAATATATACAAACATTAAAATCGCTTATGTTCACATTAAAAGTTGCTTAAAAACCATCTCAGGACACTCTTTTGTCTTGGTCCCACAGCCAGGACTTCACCATCCTTCTGAAGGACAGGAGGGAGGAGAATGATTTACTATTGCCAGAAAGGGAGTTCCATAACCGGGGGGCAATCACTGAGAAGGCCCTGTTTCTCGTCCCCGCCAAACACGCCTGTTATGGTGGTGGGATCGAAAGCAGGGCCTCCCCAGAAGATCTTAGTTTCCGCAATGGTTCGTAAAGGGAGATGTGTTCAGACAGGTAAACTGGGCGGGGGCCATTTAGAGCTTTATAGGCCAAAGCCAGCACTTTGAATTGTGCCCAATAGCAAACAGGCAGCCAGTGGAGCTGACGTAACATGGGAGTTGTGTGCTCCCTGTATGCCACCCCAGTTATTAACCTGGTTGCCTCTCGTTGGACTACTTGAAGCTTCCGAACCGTCTTCAAGGGCAGTCCTACATAGAGCGTGTTGCAGTAGTCTATCCTGGATGAAATGAGAGCGTGGACCACCGTGGCCAAGTCTGATTTCCCAAGGTCCCCCTTGGGGTCGGGAAAGGCGGGATAGAAATATATTATAATTAATTAATTAATTAATTAAGGGTAACTGGCTGCCCCAGTTTGAAGCTAACTTCAAACTTCATTAAATGTTCCATGTAAGTGAGGAAGTGAGCTGTTACCCACGAAACCTAATGCTGCAACAAATCTATTGGTCTTCAAGGCTCCACAGGATTCATTTGCTATTTTTTTGTTTAACAAAAAGCCGATCAACCTATTAAATTACTACCACCTGTAAGAAATCTGAAATCTAAAGCTCAAGAATAGAGAATATGCTCTGAAGATCTATATTACCTGAGATAGTTGGTTCTTTGGGCCACTTCACTACAGCTCCTGGCAAGGAAAATGTTCTCCGCCTGTACCTTCAAGTTCTGCAAAGATGAGGAACGGCTCCTGGACTCACCACCACTCTCCGCTGAAGATCTTTCTGGTGCATTTGAAGTTGAAAATTCATCTGTTCCGGGAAGAGAAAGAGGGGGTTGGAAGCAAAGAAAAGGCAGAGCTACCTCAAATCCAAACCCCCAGGAACCCCAGCCTGGCTTGGTTCCCTACCTCACCTGTCATCACAGGGCTCCTGGCTTTCTTCCTACTGGATGACTTCAGAAAGGGTTCCTGAAGCAAGGCGGCAGCAGTTGCCCGCTTATCTGGATCAGCTTCAAAACAACTCAGAATAAAGGCTTTGGCTTCATCGGACATGGAGCCGGGCACCTCAGGGTGGATCTTGAACATGCCTACCTGAGTAAAGAGACATTGCTGACGGTAATACACAGTCCCACCTCCACCAAGAAATAGCTTTGCAGCCCATCCATGCTGGGGCCACTACTGGTTTGTTTTGTCATGTTCGAGGCAGTGGAGCCAGGGTCTCTTGACTAAGAGAATCAGGACATTTTATAAGTAGGAAAAAGGATATTCTGTGACTCTTTCCAGCCTGCCTTTCCCTGAGTTTTAGCTCCATTCTTTAAGAGCTTGGGCCGGGTGAGCACAATATCAGTATATTGGGTTGTTGTAGACCAGGGGTACTCAAACTATGGCCCGAGGGCCGAATACGGCCCTCCAAGGTCATTTACCCGGCCCTCGCTCAGTCAACCTAAGTCTGAAACGACTGGAAAGCACACAACAACAATAATCCTATCTCATCAACCAAAAGCAGGCCCACATTTCCCATTGAAATACTAATAAGTTTATAATTGTTAAAATTGTTCTTCTGTTTAATTATTGTATTGTTTTTAAGTGTTTTTGCACTACAAATAAGATATGTGTAGCGTGCATAGGAACTTATTCATGCTTTTTTCAAATTATAATCCGGTCCTCCTACAGTTTGAGGGACTGTGACCAGACCCTCTGTTTAAAAAGTTTGAGGACCCCTGTTGTAGACTTTTCGGCCTATATGGCCATGTTCTAGAAGTATTCTCTCCTGACGTTTTGCCTGCATCTTTGGCAAGCATCCTCAGAGGTTATGAGGTCTGTTGGGACTAGGAAAATTGGGTTTATATATCTGTGGAATGTCCAGGGTGGGACAAAGGACTCTTGTCTGTTGGAGCTAGGTGTGAATGTTTCAATTAGCCACCTTGATTAGCATTTGATAGCCTGGTAGTTTTTTGGTGTGGCTTGTTAGTGCCTGGGGAAATCTTTTGTTGAAGGGTGATTAGCTGTCCTTGATTGTTTCCTCTCTGGAGTTTTCCTGTATTAGAGTGTTGTTTTGCTGTTATGATTTCAGAGTTTTTTAATACTGGTAGCCAGATTTTGTTCATTTTCATGGTTTCCTCCCTTCTGTTGAAATTCTCCACACGCTTATGGATTTCAATGGCTTCTCTGTGTAGTCTGACATGGTGGTTGTGAAAAAACCAAGGTTCTGTTCCAGCAGACACCAGCCAACCCCTCTCCAATGCCAGTGATACAGCTTAACGGTGTAACATTAGAAAATTTCTGCTACCTTGGCAGCCACCTCTCCACCAAAGTCAACATCAACACCGAAATACAACACCGCCTGAGCTCTGCAAGCGCAGCATTTTTCCGAATGAAGCAGAGAGTGTTTGAGGACCGGGACATCCGTAGGGATACCAAGGTGCTTGTTTATAGAGCTATTGTCCTCCCAACCCTGCTATATGCCTGTGAGACGTGGACTGTCTACAGACGTCACATGCAACTCCTGGAACGATTCCATCAGCGCTGCCTCCGGAAAATCCTGCAAATCTCATGGAAAGACAAGCGGACAAATGTCAGTGTGCTGGAAGAAGCAAAGACCGCCAGCATTGAAGTGATGGTCCTCCGCCATCAACTCCGCTGGACCAGCCACGTTGTCCGGATGCCCGACCACCGTCTCCCAAAGCAGTTGCTCTACTCTGAACTCAAGAATGGAAAACGGAATGTTGGTGGACAGGAAAAGAGATTTAAAGATGGGCTCAAAGCCAACCTTAAAAACTCTGGCATAGACACTGAGAACTGGGAAGCCCTGGCCCTTGAGCACTCCAGCTGGAGGTCAGCTGTGACCAGCAGTGCTGCAGAATTTGAAGAGGCATGAATGGAGGGTGAAAGAGAGAAGCGTGCCAAGTGGAAGGCGCGTCAATCCAACCCTGATCGAGACCGCCTTCCACCTGGAAACCAATGCCCTCCCTGTGGAAGAAGATGCAGAGCAAGAATAGGGCTCCACACCCACATACGGACCCACAAGAACACTGGAAGACAATCATCCTCAGAAAACGAGGGATCGCCTAAGTAAGGTGGTTGTGAGAGTGGTCCAGCATTTCTGTGTTCTCAAATAATATGCTGTGTCCAGGTTGGTTCATCAGGTGCTCTGCTATGGCTGACTTCTCTGGTTGAATTAGTCTGCAGTGCCTTTCATGTTCCTTGATTTGTGTTGGGCAACGCTGCTGTGTTTGGTGGTCCCTCTGTAGACTTGTCCATAGCTGCATGGTACATGGTAGACTCCCGCAAGAAGTGAGAGGATCTCTCTTGTCCTTTGCTGAACGTAGCATTTGTTGGATTTTCTTAGGAAACACAACATAAAAACTATCTACAGACCCACTAAGAAAACCCAAACACGAATCACCATGTCAGATTACACAGAGAAGACATTGAAATCCATAAGCATGTGGGCAATTTCAACAGAAAGGAGGAAACCATGAAAATGAACAAAATCTGGCTACCAGTATTAAAAAGACTCTAAAATCCTAACAGCAAAACAACACTCTAATACAGGAAAACTCCAGAGAGGAAACAATCAGCTAATCACCTCTCAACAAATGATTTCCCTAGGCCAGGGGTCCTCAAACTTTTTAAACAGAGGGCCAGGTCACAGTCCCTCAAACTGTTGGAGGGCCGGATTATAATTTGAAAAAAACATACATTAATTCCTATGCACACTGCACATATCTTCTTTGTAGTGCAAAAAAACCCCCACTTTAAAACAATACAATAATTAAAATGAAGAACAAATTTAACAAATATAAACTTATTAGTATTTCAATGGGAAGTGTGGACCTGCTTTTGGCTGATGAGATAGGATTGTTGTTGTGTGCTTTCAAGTAGTTTCAGACTTAGGTTGATCCTGAGTGAGGGCCAGGTAAATGACCTTGGAGGACCATATCCGGCCCCCGGGCCTTAGTTTGAGGACCCCCTACTCTAGGCACTAACAAGCCACACCAAAAAACTGCCAGGCCATCAAATGCTAATCTAGGTGGCCAATTGAAACATTCACACCTAACTCCAACAGACAAGAGTTCTTTCTCCCACCCTGGACATTCCACAGATACATAAACCCAATTTTCCTAGTTCCAACAGACCTCATAACCTCTGAGGATGCTTGCCATAGATGCAGGCGAAACGTCAGGAGAGAATGCTTCTAGAATATAGCCCGAAAAATCTACAACAATCCAGTGATTCCAGCCATGAAAACTTCGACAATATATCAATATATCAGAGGTCCTCAACCTTTTTAAACAGAGGGCCAAGTCAAAGTCCCTCAAACTTTGGAGGGCCGGATTATAATTTGAAAAAAGCATGAATAAATTCCTATGCACACTGCACATATCTTATTTGTAGTGCAAAAAACACTTAAAAACAATACAGTAATTAAAATGAAGAACAATTTTAACAAATATAAACTCATTAGTATTTCAATGGGAAGTGTGGGTCTGCTTTTGGCTGATGAGATAGGATTGTTGTTGCTGCTGCTGTTGTGTGATTTCAAGTTGTTTCAGCCTTAGGTTGACCCTGAGCAAGGGCCGGGTAAATGACTTTGGGGGCCGTATCCAACCCTCGGGCCATAGTTTGAGGACCTCTGCAATATATTGTTAGATAGAAATGCCTCAGCATTGAATCTATGTGAAAATATAGTTTTGATGGTATTGGGACTCCAACTCCAAGAAGCTTCAGCCAGGTTGTCCGATGGTTAGGATTTCTGGGAGCTGAAGTCCAAAACACCTGGAGGGTCACAAGTTTGACACCACTGAGCCTGAACATCTCCAGCAGGTACCTGTCCAGCTTCTTTTTGAAGATGTCCAGGGAAGGAGACCTCACCACCTCTCTGGAAATTGGTCCCATTGCTAAACTACTCTTACTACTAAGAAGTTCCTTGTGAGGACAGCCCTTCCAAGTTAGAAACCATAATGATCAGGAAAGCAGGAGCACTGGTTGATGAACTCTGCCAGATGTTTGCCACAATATGAGCAATCTGATGGTAACCAGGTGCTTTCCTCAGTCTCACCTTGAACATAGCAGCCTGCGGGCTGCCGAGCTCAAAGAAAGGAGGTTTGCCTGTAGCCATCTCAATAATGGTGCAGCCCAAGGACCAGATGTCAGCCGGCTTGCCGTAGCCCCGGGGTCCCTGATCAATGACCTCTGGGGCCATGTATTGCAAGGTGCCTGGGAAGGAAAAAAGGGAGAGGCCAACGTGAAGCAGGGAATGTGCACCATACTCTTTGCCAGCCTTGGGAGGACAGCTCTCTCCCCAAACCACAACTCCCTCACTCACTCCTTTCTTACCCCAAATCCCTTAAGATAGATCCTCACTATTACAGTTCTGTTTTACACCATATTTACTCAAACCTAATGCTCACCTTTTTTGGATAAAGTACCTCTTTTGGATAAAAGGCCAGAGGTTTAGCACAGTGGGTAAATCATCAGCAATTATAAGATCTATCAACCAAAAAGTTGCAGGTTTGAAGCCCCGAGTTGGCATGAGCTGTCAACTGTTAGCCTATCTCATTGTTTACCTAAGCAATTTGAAAACAGCTTTAGCTGTGATTAGAGAAATTAGGTACCGCTAAATAGTAGGGGAGGTGTTTTACGACGCCATAAAGAAAGAAGGTCAGAAAATGCTGTGCGACCAAAAGGAAGGAGGAAGTCCTGACGGCTCTTCGTCATAGAGGACAGAGCAACAGAACGCCCGGGACTCGAGCCCAACCTTCCATGGCACCTCCTTCTCTTCTGTCTGTCGGTGTATTGTCTATACAAAGCGGCATTGAATGTTTGCCGTGTATGTGTACTGTGATCCGCCCTGAGTCCCCTTCGGGGTGAGAAGGGCAAAATATAAATAAAGTGTTATTATTATTAGGTTCTTGTGGGGTTTTTTCGGGCTATAGGGCCATGTTCTAGAGGCATTTCTCCTGACGTTTCACCTGCATCTATGGCAAGCATCCTCAGAGGTAGTGAGGTGTGTTGGAATTAGGACAATGGGTTTATATATCTGTGGAATTGCTGGGGTGGGGCAAAGAGCTCTTCTCTGCTGGAGTTAGGTGTGAATGTTTCATTTGACTACCTTCATTAGCATTTGAAGGCCTGGCTGAGCCTGGGAAAATCTTTTGTTGAGAGGTGTTAAGATGTGCCTGGTTGTTTCCTCTCTGCTGTTTTGCTGTTGTAATTTTAGAGTTTTTTTTAATACTGGTAGCCAGATTTTGTTCATTTTCATGGTCTTTTCCTTTCTGTTGAAATTGTCCACATGCTTGTGGATTTCAATGGCTTCTCTGTGTAGTCTGACATGGTGGTTGTTGGTGTGGTCCGGCATTTCTGTGTTCTCAAATAATATGCTGTGTCCAGGCTGGTTCATCACCTCTTAATTTATAGTTCACCTACAATCAAAGAGTACTCTAAATTCCACCAAAGATGGAATTGGGCCAAAGTTGGCACATAGAACTCTCATGAGCAACGGAAAACACTGGAAGGGTTTGCTGGGCATTTAGTTTTGGAGTTGTAGTTCACCTATATCCAGAGAGCACCGTGGACTAAAACAATGATGGATCTGGACCAAACTTGGCACAAATACTCAATATGGCCAAATGTGAACACCAGTGGAATTTGGGGAAAATAGACCTTGACATTTGGGAGTTGTACTTGCTGGGATTTATAGTTCACCTATACTGAAAGAGAATTCTGAACTCCACCCATGATAGAATTGGGCCAAGCTTCCCACACAGAACACCCATGACCAACAGAAAATACTATGTAATGTGTAACTCAGCATTACTACAAATGTGTTCAAAGCCATTCAAACATACTTTTACTTCACTCGTATTGGTCACACTATTGGTTACTAACAATGAACCCATGAGCAAGGACTAAAGAAAAGGCAACCAAGAAGGACAACTAAAAAACAACAGACCTTGAGGACATGCTAAGGTTTGCTGAAATACAAAAACAACAACTACTTAAAGAGACACCCCCCGCCCCCACGTACACATACATCCCACAAGCAAGACTGAGCAACTTCAATGACCACAACTTGCTGAGTGTCAATTGAAAAAGAAAAATGGGAGAGTCAGTGCATGTTTGTGTTTACCATATATACTTGAGTATAAGCCTACCCGAATATAAGTGGAGGCACCTAATTTTACCACAAGAACTGGGAAAATGTAGAAACTTGGGAATAAGCCAAGGGTGGGAAATGCAGTCGCTACTGGTAAATTTCAAAATAAAAATTGATACCAATAAAATTACATTAATTGAGGCATTTGTAGGCTAAATGTTTTTGGATATTTACATAAAAAGGTAATTTAAGATAAGACTGTCCAACTCTGATTAAACCATTATTCTAACCTTCTTCCATGTAAATGTGCTTGCGTATCCTTCCAATTTCTCTTGTCAGCTTCCCTTTACTTCTGCCTAATCACTCGAGATTGATGTTGGATTAACTATTCAGTAAATATTTAACTCGAAAGTTAATTATGTACCTTTCCTTTCCTTTAACTAATGTTACTGCTACTGCCTTATTGTGCCTAATACTATTTATGATCCTCCAATGTTTTTAAATATGTGCTAAATTACGGTGTGAGGATCACAGAACAAACATATCAGGAAGGAAAGAATTCATTTCCCTAAAAAAAAAAAAGACCCATATCTCCGATGCACGCACACATGCGCGTACACACACAAAGTGTTGCACTCCAGGCCTGGAAACACCTATGGCCGCTGCACCACACAAGAGTCCAAGAATATAAGCAAACAGTTTATAGTAAAAACACATTAAAAGCATATAAGAATCAGGAATAGGAAAGGAAGATATATAATCCAAAAAGGTTTAACAACAGGGGATATCCCTACAGTAATCCAAATGCCTCATAAAGTTCCAGAGGTGACAAAGTCCAGGAACAGCCAGAAATCACAGGCACAGCATAAGTCCACAAGCAAGAGGGTATAACTAGTAAAAACTTGAGCAAGAATACATGAACAGAAATATAGAAAACTTCCAGGACATATTAACTCCAAAACCAAGGCTTGACTTGAACCAGGAACCAGAGAACTCAGGCTCAGCTCCTCACTCTAATGCAGTGTTGCCTGAACTGCCCTTAAGGTAAACAACTTGTTGTTTAATAGACACCCATGAAAGCATTACCTCTCCCATGAATTTTCTCCATAACTATCCCACATAATCTCTCTGAACAACGCAATATATTTTCAGCCCTGATTTGTAAATGAAGACTTTAGTTGATCTCCTTAGCTAGAGGCGGTTTCCGCTGGGAACCCTCCTTGCCACTCAGCTCTTTACTCGATTCCTTATCTGCTGTTGCTACTTCCGGCTCCGCTGACTGGCCTTGAGGCCCTGCATTTTCTGAGCCTATTTCATCACAGACCAGAATTTCCCAGATTTGAGGGCCTATCACTTTGTGCCACAGGAAAGCTAACAATCCTCTCTAAACCATCAGTTAAACCATCGGCCTCTGGCTGATCTGCAACAAAAAGTGTTCTGTCGCGCGCTGGGCCTGTAACAGCTGTACTTTTCTATAGGACATATACTTTAAGCCCAGCGGGAAGCCAGGGGCGCCTCAAAGAGAGGTTCTCAGGGATTTTTCTGAAGTGAGTCTTTAATGATGCAACAAAGTTTTTATTATGGAACAAACAACAAATCTTCAATGGTTCAAACAACACTTCAAGGCTAAACTTTCTCTGTAGGAAAAACCCTTTTTAACCTCTCCCAGGCTGCTTTCTATCTATGCCTCATCGGTGTGGGACCTACTACCGATTCCAAGTGCGCCTGGGTATCGAGTAGACCTACCAGCCGAGGCTTAAAGATATTTCAGCTGGAGTTCCGTGGATCTGTAATGCTGTTCTCCCTTCGAGAATTCTTAGAAACTTCAGGGCTGTTCCCTCTGATGCTGTGAGGCTGTGAGCTCTCAGCCAGAGCTTTTGGGACTTTTCTCCTGGAATTTCTGCTTCTGTATCCCCGGATGTTACTTTTTCCCTGGATGATTAAATTCCCCTGGATGCTCTTGAGAAAGGAAGCTTTTCTACGGGACGAGCTGGTCTACGTCCTATAGCTTAGCTACCTTGTGTGAGACTGACCAAAAATGGCTTCTTTCCCTCCCAGAGCCCAGAACAAGGGGCAGAACCAAAGCTTAATTAAGATGGACAGGAGGCCTGTCCTATGACTGCAAAACAGATAACAGAAAGAAGATAAAGTTGGAGCTCATGGTACAGCCGTACCAGCACAAAAAGAGTATCTTACCTGTGAAAGTCTCTGCACTTGGACTGATGCCTGCTAACCTCTTGGAGGTGCCGAAGTCGGAAATTTTTAATACTCCGTTGTACGTGTTGATCAAGACGTTATCTCCCTGTCAACCCCCAAAAGCCAAGTCATTACTCTGCCTGCTATAGAAGTAACACCCAGAGACAAGTGTTCAAGAAGAAGGTGCTTTATACTTTCCAACAACTGTGACCTGTAATAAACCATGACATTGGGAAGTGCTTCTGTTCAGCCACACTCTCTTCCAGAATACACCATGCCCTTTCTCCCCACTAAACCCTTTTAAGTGGCAGGGAGAACGCTTACGCATTTTCCCCCTTGAAAACATTATTGTGTTTCCAGATAGTATATATCAAGGAAACCTTTTCACCCAAATTCTTAACCACAAGGCCCATGAACATCACCTTATAGACATACAGGCAGTCCCCGAGTTACAAACATCCATATTGCTATTTTAATATGTATTTTATGGAAATATGTTTTAATACGTGTATTCTACAGAGTGTTTTGAAAGGATTGTGTGTTTTTGTGGGTTTTTTCGGGCTATAGGGCCATGTTCTAGAGGCATTTCTCCTGACGTTTCGCCTGCATCAGGATAAATGCCTCTAGAACATGGCCCTATAGCCCGAAAAAACCCACAAGAACCTAGTGATTCCAGCCATGAAAGCCTTCGACAATACATTGTGTGTTTTGATTATGTGTTTTAGCAATGTTGTAGCCTGCCTTGAGTTGTGAGGAGAGGCAGATAAGAAATAAAATAATAATAATTGTTACTATCCACCTTACAATTATCAACTGAAGCTTTATAAATTCAACTTAAGAACAAACCTACAGAGCCTTGTTCATAACTTGAGAACTGCCTGTAATGGGAAATATTTCGAGACATGTGGTTATATTTTCATTCTTGAGCATCAACGAATGGTTTTGCCTGTGCTTCCCATTCTATCTCCTTCTCTCCCCCATCAATAACAAGCTATTGTTTCAGTCCAAGTCAGCCAACACCTGCGGACCATCTGATCTGGAACCGCTCTTACCTTGATATCCCTATGGACAATCTGGTTGTCATGCAAGTAGCGCAGCCCCTCTAAGATTTGCTTGGTGTAGTAAACAATGGTTGGTTCATTGTCCTTCAGTGGGCCCCACATGGAGCGCAGAAGAGAGGAGAGGCTCCCTGAAATGGCAGGGTGGGGACAGATTGTCAGATTTAAGAGGATTTCCTATAGAAAAAGTGCCCAGAAGGCATACAAGTGGAAGTCAGCATCATCTGAGCACTTCTTATGGAAGCACCCACAGGGAAGCTTCCATTATTCTTTGTAATAATGTAAAATTACAAAGAAATTAAAGTATGGCATTGCCAAAAATATATCAACAATACAAATCAGCAATAAGTCCATAATTAAAACAGATCAACAACTAAGGTTTATTTTAAAAAACCAAAAAGGTGAAACAAACAAGCTTCTCTTAGGAAGTTGGTCTATTCTGCAGATACCACTACCACAGGATGCATCTAACCTGTAGAATTTGATGCAGTTTGACACCACTTTAATTGCCATGACTCAGTGGAATGGGATCCTGTGAGTGGTTAGGTTTGGGTCCAAGTTACCTACAAGATCGCCTTTTTGAGTCATTAGGAGAGGCAGGGTAAAAGTAAAGGTTTTCCCTGAGTCCAGTCGTATCTAACTCTGGGGAGTGGTGCTCATCTCCAAATCGAACACTTCCCGAGTATTTAGGACTGTGTGATGCATTTTCGAATGATGTGCGCAGATCCAAGTAAAGTAGCCTTTTGCAGTTGACAGATTGTGACTTTGTCAATGTTTATTGTTTTCAAATACCGGCATGTTGTCCGTAGACAGCTCCAAGGTCATGTGGCCAGCATGACTGCATGAAGTGCCATTATCTTCCCGCAGAAGTGGTACCTATTGATCTACTTGCACTTGCATGTTTTCAAACTGCTAGGTTAGCAGAAGCTGGGGCTAACAGTGGGAGCTCACCCCACTCTCCAGATTCGAACTGCCAACCTTTTGTTCAGCAAGTTCAGCAGCTCAGCAGTTTAATCTGCTGCACCACCAAGAGGCCCTACAGGCAGGGTAAGAAATAAAAAAATTGTTATTATTATTTTATTGATACAAGAACACAGTATGACACAGCAAACGAGATCTATATGCTGGATTTCATATCACAAGATCGCAAGTCGAAGACTTCCCAAGCGTTTAGGACTGTGCGATGTATTTTCGAATGATGTGTGCAGATCCAAGTAAGGTGGTCTTTTGCAGCTGACAGATTGTGATTTTGTCAATGTTTATTGTTTCCAAATGCCGGCTGAGACCTTTTTGCACGGCACCCAGTGTGCCGATTACCACTGGGGCACCTGTACTGGTTTATACTAGAGCCTTTGCAGTTCTTGACAACAGCTGAGTTTTTCCTTTTGTTTTTCGTCAATTCAACTGTCACCTGGTATGGAGACATCAATAATCCAAACCTTTTTCTTTTCCGCAATTGTGAGATCTGTTGTATTGTATTCCAAAACTTTGTCAGTCTGGATTCAAAAGTCCCACAGTATTTTTGCATGTTTATTTTCCACTACTTTTGCAGTTTTATGATCTCACCAATTCTTTATTACTGGCAGGTGGTACTTGGTGATATAAGTTCCAATTAATCATTTGGGCCACAGAGTTGTGCCTCTGTTTGTAATTTGTCTGTGTGATTTTCTTGCAGCAGCTGAAGATATGATCCATGGCTGCTGCTGCTACTACTACTTCTATTGCTTCTACTGCTTCTACCGCTTCTGCTTCTGCTTCTGCTTCTGCTTCTGCTGCTGCTGCTGCTGCTGCTGCTGCTGCTGCTGCTGCTGCTGCTGCTGCTGCTTCTTCTTCTTCTTCTTCTTCTTCTTCTTCTTCTTCTTCTTCTTCTTCTTCTTCTTCTTCTTCTTCTTCTTCTTCTTCTTCTTCTTCTATTGTAGTATGGTGAGGCACCAACACTCTTTGGTCTTGGTGAAAGACCTTGTAAAATGGCAACTCCCATAATTCCAAAACATTGAGCCATGCCAGTTAAAGTAGCATCAAACTGCAGTAATTCTATAGTATAGATGCACCCCAAGAGTCCCTTCCGTTCATCTGCAGACACTGAACAATTAATATGAACAGGGCCTCTGAAAATGAATGTAAGTTTTATACAGGATGAGACAAATACTCGGTCCAATTTGGCTGTTCAGGAAAAGTGGTTATAATACATTTCCATTGTATTTACACTAAAGCACTAATAATAATAATAATAATAATAATAATAATAATAATCCTTTATTTATACCCCGCTACCATCTCCCGGAGGAGATGCAGTGAGGCTTACAAGGGGCCGAGCCCAAATACATCAATAAAAACAACACAGCAATACAGACAATAATCTTTATCCTGCTAAAATGTTCCATGGGAATGCCCTATGGCAATTCGTGTGATATGCATTCTATCTTAACCAACTTAATTCAGTCCAATAAGCACAGGTACAGTCACATCCCACTAGGATTCCATTAATCTTGAGCATCCCACCTTCTTCCTACTTACCCCCAGGTACCTCCTCCATAAAGATCTTGAGATAGCCATCTTGACTGACAGAGCCCAAGTAGCGGACAATGTTCTTGTGTTTCAGACGCTTATGGAGAGCAATCTCTTCGTGCAATGGCTGTGAGTATCTGAGGAATAGAGTGAACAAAACATAACTTCATTTGAGAGCAGTGCCAATAACTCTCAATTGAGACACAGCTATTTTTGAGTGGCAAGAAAACTATGGGCTACTTTGTTTACTATTATTTTGCTTTACTGCCAGGAAGGGGGGAGGGGGTCACATATGGAAGCTGCTCCTTCAGAAATAAAAATATTTCTGCTCTAGGTACTATATTGTTTGATATCCACAAGGAAGGCCATTGCCTGCCTTGAGATCCTTACAAGGGGTTGATGGTTTGTTTCTTTTTTTTTCATGTCAGGAGTGACTCCTGGTGTGAGAGAATTGGCCGTCTGCAAGGACGTTGCCCAGGGGACGCCTGGATGATTTTGATGTTTTTATCATCCTTGTGGGAGGCTTCTCTCATGTCCCCGCATGAGGAGCTGGAGCTGATAGAGGGAGCTCATCCGCCTCTCCCCGGATTTAAACCTGCGACCTGTCGGTCTTCAGTCCTGCCGGCACAGGGCTTTAACCCACGGGGTTGATGGTGGGGAGTTGGGAGTCAGGAAGGACTAGTTTGTTTCCTGTTTCTGCAAATACATTCTGGAGTGGTCTTCCCTCCATACAATGGACACCTTCAAAAAAGGACCCAACACCTCCTTCCTTGGCACCTGTGGCTCATACCTGCTGTCCCGCTCCGGGATTTCCTTAATGGCGATGCGCACTTGATTGCTGAGGTCCCGCCCAGCATAGACTATCCCATAGGTGCCTTTACCAAGAATCACCTTGTCACCCGCCTCTGTGTATTCGTAGTCATACTGTGTAAGCCAAAGCACACAAGAGGATTAGTGAACCAAAACATCACGGGGGCAGAAACCCTTATCAGTGCAATCTGCTGGCCAACTTGCTTCTTATCACCCAATTAACTGACTTCAGACTGTTGTTTCTGCTTCAGTAGCGGCTCTCATCTTCATTTACATTTCATTCATTGCAATAACACTTACTTGTTTGCATGGTCAGATGCAAGGGAGAAGAGCCAAGAGAGACAGAGAAATGGTGTGTGCTATATTTATACCCCACTGTTATCAGCTCATTAATTCAGTGTCCAGCGTCCTAGTCTATTGCAATATCTTCCTTGTCTGTTCTACGAATGCTTCATAATGTTCCACAAATTAACTCTTTCACAGCTAGCAGTAGGGACATTTTAAACTTGTACAATATATATACTGATATTACATAATCCCTACCATTTGGGAGAGTGAAACACCTGCCTTATGCTGAGGTAAGGTATTGGAGAATAGAAGCACATAACACAGTTGGGCCCGAGCCTGGTTCGGTTAGCCCGATGCACTTAACCGGCCTGAGCCTGGTTCGGGTAGCTGGATGTGCGTAAGAGTTTAGCAACAATCAACATTGAGATAAATTTCAACTGCCAGTTGTTTTGGCAGGTAGGTGGATGTGGGGAATAATTTAATTTGGTTTGCATTATTAAACAAATCTATCTACAATAATTTTCAGTCAAAGATTGACCTAAAATCTAAGTTACCGTATATACTCGAGTATAAGCCGACRCGAATATAAGCCYCGGCACCTAATTTTACCACAAAAAACTGGGAAAATGTATTGGCTCGAGTATAAGCCGAGGGAGAGAAATGCAGCAGCTACTGGTAAGTTTCAAAATAGAAATAGATACCAATAAAATTACATTAATTGAGGCATCAGTAGAGTAAATATTCAAAAKTATTTAKATAAAATTGTAATTTAAGATAAAGCTGTCCAARTCTBATTAAACCATTATTRTAACCTTCTTCAYTGTAAATGTGCTTASATATCCTTCCAATAATAATYAAGGYASTAAAATAATAAATGTAATAAAAATAATAATAGAGTAAAATAATGGAAATGTAATAACAGTAATAAGAGAGTAAAATAATAAATGTAATAATAACAATAATAAATAGAGTAAAATAATAAATGTTGTAAMAACAATAAAGAGTAAAATAATAAATGTYYTAACAACAATAATAAATAGAGTAAAATAATAAATATTGTAATAACAATAAAGAGRAAAATAATAAATGTAATAAAAATAATACTAATAACAGAGAAAAATAGTAAATAACATTGACTCGAGTATAAGCCGAGGGGAGATTTTTCAYCCTAAAAAAGGGACTGAAAAACTAGYCTTAAASTCAAGTATATACAGTATATTAATTTAAGTAATTAATGATACAGCYTTGTACTTTCATCCCATGCCATTGTTKAATAGCTACAATTTGCACTATTCCATTCCCTTCTCTTGTTTACAGTTTGGCCATGTTTTACAGCAGTTGTCACCATAGGTTATTAGGCGTTGTTCTGATTTTTAAACTGTTATTTTTATATGCTATTGGTTTTACTGTTTTGCATTGTATTGTTTATTTTATGCATTGTTTTTAGGTTCTTTGTGTCATATATAAGCTGCCCCGAGTCCCTTCATGGAGATGGAGGCGTAGTATAAAAATAAAGTTATTATTATTATTATTATTATTATTATTATTATTATTATTATTATGATGTTGAATTACATACAAGTCAACGTGATCTCTCTGTCCACTGAAACATCTCTTCCGGACCTTTGTAATGCCTGTTTCTAAATAGTCAATGTATCCATGGGTTGTATCAATATCCACAATTTTGGCCCCACACCTTTCCCTGACATATTGGTCAATTTATACAAGAGTACATATCAGTGGTTCCACGCAGCCTCCTGCGAACCACCAGGAGGCTGCGAGGAAAAAAATCTGGTCCATGAGCCTGCTTCCTCTTTATTTATTCATTTTATTTTATTTCCGCTCCTTTCGCGCTGCCTGCCAATCCTTCCCTATCGCTAACCATGGCACATGTTCTGTATCAGAAACTAGAGTTGATGTGGTCTATCCAATGCAATTTTCTGAATCAGCACCCCAAACTAAATCTAAAGTTGACCAAGAACTTTTGGTACAAATGTTGGAGAGTGGTCCCTGGTCAAATTGGTCCCTGGACAAAAAAAGGTTGGGAACTACTGGTATATATGATATATCTTTAGACTAATACACAGTTTAGCACAGAGGACTGGACACTTTCCTCTAGTCTAGTTCAAAAATTACATATGAAGAGGCATTTGCAAAGTCGCAGACAAAGGTTTCCTTCAAAAGTGCCATGCCAGGAAAAAACAACTCAGGTGAACAAACATACAGTACTCACGCAGTTCTAAACAAAAATTCACAGAGCTAGACAAAATTGGAATGGAATTCGGATATATGATTGTTTACATATAAGCAAAAGCAATACAGGCAGTTCCCAAGTTATGAAGAAGATAGGTTCTGTAGATTTGTTCTCAAGTTGAATTTGTATGTAAATCGGAACAAGTTCATTTTTTAAGGGTAACTCCAGCCATACATATACATATGTATATATACATATACACACACACATATGGGCCCCCTGGTGGCGCAGTGAGTTAAACTGCTGAGCAGCTGAACTTGATGACRYAAAGGCTGGCAGTTCAAATCCAGGGAGTAAGGTGAGTTCCCACTGTTAGGCCCAGCTTCTGCCAACCTAGCAGTTTGAAAACATGCAGATGTGAGTAGATCAATAGGTACTGCTCCGGTAACTTCGCTCCATGCGGCCAKGTGACCTTGGAGGCGTCTACGGACAACGCCGGCTCTTCAGCTCAGAAATGGAGATGAGCACCACCACCCAGAGTCCGGCACAACTAGACTTAATATCAGGGGAAACCTTTACCTTTACTACGTATATGTATGTATGTAGTGTGTGTGTGTGTGTGTGTGTGTGTGTGTGTGTGTATATATATATATATATATATATATGCATGATGCATGCTTTGGATAGCATAGGGACGGGTTAACACGCCTGTGGTGTTTATTTTGTATGTCTATGCCCTTCATTATACCCCAGTTTCTGTCCCTGTGATAACTGGATATTGAAAAAATGGTGAGAAAGCTTCATGGGAGACATCTTTTCCCCATGATAATAACTCTTCCAGGAGTGAATTTCCCATCCAATGGGTAGATTTCTCTGATTTCCTGTTGTCTCACCCCCATTTTAAACTTTGAGTCATTTGTAAATTGGATGTTTGTAACTCAGGGACTGCCTGTATTCACGGAAAATAAATTCATTAATTCATCACAAAAAGGGACATTTTGTTTACTGTCATTTGCAGCAAAATATCTTGGGGATGCATTGTCTAGACAGCCTCTACTGTGTGTTAGCTATTGGCCATGAAGGTCAGCCATTGTGAGGCTCATTCTCAAATTTATCCTTTCACATTCCAGAATGACATTCCTGAGAATCAGTAACTTTCTCCAGCTCACCTCTAGCTCCTCTGGAGAGCTGCAGCCATCTCCTTCCTCTCCCATCTCTGCCATGAAAGAACGGACGAGATTGCAAAACCTAAGCAAGGTGATGACAAGATTTTACTCCAATAGCTGCATATTATCCAAAATGTTTACACATTTTAAAAAAGCCTGAAAAAACCTATGCTTTCTGGATTTGGAGTGGGTGTGCGCAATGACAGATCCCTGAGGGCAAAACATGCACTTGTGCCCTGTTTCATCAAGATGTCCACCCTTTTCCTAGAAGTCAAGTGAGAAAGTGAGAAAACAAAACACTTTCCCCAAGTGAGAAAACAAAAAATATTTGGGTTGTGGAAGTTTTCCAGGCTGTCCGGCCATCTTCCAGAAACATTTTCTCCTGATATTTCTCCCACATCTATGGCAGGCATCCTCAGAGGTTGGGCCTGTCCAGGCAGTACCTTTATCCCAGGAGCGTCTGCAGCAAACAGGAGGGTGGCCAGCCACCATTCCCTGTAAACTTGGAAGCAATCGTTACAAAAGGCAAAAAATGTAAGATTTCTAGGTGCAGGAAAATTGCGGTTTTGAGCCGAATACGCAGATCTTTGCATGTCCCTGCAATCGGAAATCACTGGGTTTTTTATCTGGGTTTGTTCCCAGGTTTTAGATGCTTGTTCCTGATTGATCGGTTCCGAAGAAGACGACGACACTTGCGTAGAAGGCAAAAACTTTGTGTGCTAGAAACTTTATGAAACTTGTGGAGGGCACATTTTCTCTGGCCAGGACAAAGTTGTGGTCCCCTAGTCAATATTGTACTTCTGTTCACAAGAAGAGCAATCAGGAACAACCATGTATAACCCAGGAACAGCACCCTGTTGTTTGATGCCACAAGTACACAACCAAATCTGTCTAGAAAGATGGCCAGGCAACCAGGCTCTAAAAAGTGTCAATAATGACAAAGTTCTGTTCCTGGCTTGAAAGTGTATGTTCCTGTTTGATTGTGCAGTGCTGGGTTGGGCAGAAGTGGTCCTACCCCGTAAACTTTGTTTGTGTGGCAGATACTCCATGAAACATCTGGAGGGCACAGTTTCTTTGGCCAGGACAAAGAATGGAACTTTTGCAGTGATTAATGGCAGTGATTACCGCATAACTGCATCTTGCAGGGTTTTTTTTTCAAAAAAAACTGCCAAAGTTTCCGGTGGAAGTCCTGCAGTGGCCAATTTGGGAGCCTCTAAATCTCACAACAAAGCATCAAGTCTGGACAACAGAGTCAGAAATCCTGGGACCAACAGGTCTGTATGTGACCCTCTTCTGAAGTCCCGGGATGTTTTGTCTCTGTTTAAAAATGTGCTATCTGGAAGTGCCGTTGTGAGGTCTGTTGGAAACAAGGCAAGTGGGGTTTATATACCTGTGGAATGTGCAGGGTGGGGAAAAAGAACTCTTGTCTGTTGGTGGGTGAATGTTGCAATTGGTCACCTTGAATGGCCTTGCAGCTTCAAAGTCTGGCTCCTTTCTGCCTGGGGAAATCCTTGATTGGGAGATGTTAGCTGGCCCTGAGTGTTTCCTGTCTGGAATTCCCTGTTTTTTTATTTTATTATTTTAGTGTTGCTCTTTATTTACTGTCCTGATTTTAGAGTTTTGAAATACTGGTAGCCAGATTTTGCTCATTTTCATGGACCACCCTGGCAACCATTATGTCAGACTTCACAGAGATGCCATTGAAATCCACCAGCATTTGGACAATTTCAACAGAAAGGAGAAAACCATGAAAATGAACAAAATCTGACTACCAGTATTAAAAAAAACCTCTAAAATCAGGACAGTAAAGAGCAATTTTGAAGCTGCTTAAATGCTAATCAAGGTGGCCAATTGAAACAAGGTTAAATGCTAATCAAGGTGGCCAATCATCTTCCGAGCACAATTCAAAGTGCTGGTGTTGACCTATAAATCCCTAAATGGTTCCGGCCCCATTTACCTGTCCGAACGGATTCTCCCCTATGAACCATCAAGGTTGTTAAGATCTTCTGGAGGGGCCCTGCTCTCGGTCCCACCTCTTTCGCAATCACGCTTGGTGGGAACGAGGGACAGGGCCTTCTTGGTGGTGGCCCCTCGGCTCTGGAACTCCCTCCCGATGGAGATTAGATCTGCCTCTTCCCTCCTTTTAGAAAGCTGGTAAAATCATGGCTTTGGGATACTGCATTTGCAGAATGATGATTGAGTCAATAACTGCTGACCTTACTGGCGGATGGCGATGAATTTGTGATTTCACTCTGACGAACTGACTTTTTGTAATTTGTATGAACTGTATTTTAATGTATTTTATATTGATGATGTATATTGTTTTATCTTATTGTATTGAATCCTCTGTTGTTAGCCTGGCCTGAGTCCCTCTCCGGAGGTCGAGAAGACCGGGTTATAAAAACTCTAAATAAATAAATAAATAATTCACACTTGCCTCAAACAGACAAGAGTTCTTTCTCCCACCCTAGACATTTATATATATATATAACACATACCCCACTTGCATAGTTTCCAACAAACCTCACAACCTCCGAGGATGCCTGCCATAGATGTAGGTGAAATGTCAGGAGAGAATGCTTTTGGAACATGGCCAGACAGACCAGAAAACTCACAGCAGAGCAGTGATTCCAGCCATGAAAGCCTTCAACAACACAAAAGACATTTGGTTTGCTTATATTTCCGCAGCTTAAACCCCCTTCCTTGCACTCACCAGTGGCAATGGTGCTGGGAAGGGAAATACAACTGGAAGTCTTCGGCCGTGTGCAGCACATAGAGGAAGCAACACCGTTCATCACATTTGGAAATACTGGTAAGAAAAGAAAATAATGATAGAAGGTCTTCCATATGCACTGAAATCCCTCCTTCTCTTCACAAAGGGATGTTGCTACAACTCCCAGAATCTTCCAGGCAACGCAGCCACTCAAGGATGCCCTACAAGGAGTGTCTGTTTCTGGTATTATCCACACTGGGGGTATTTTTTATTATCCAAGAGCTGGTATCTTAGAAATCAAAATTTTGATTGAGTGTTTGGAAAAGGCAGCATTATGCATTTCTGGGTTGCTGAATGTTTTTTGGGCTGTCTGTCCATGTTCCTGTAGCATTCTCTCCCAATGTTTTGACTCCATCTGTGGCTAATGGCATCTTCAGAGGTTGGCAGTGAAGCAAGTGGAGTGTATTTATATTTTTGAAATGTCAGGAGTGAATGCTGCTGGAACATGGCCATACAGCCGGAAACCTCACAGCAACCCAGTGATTCCAGCCATGAAAGCCTTCGACAACACTATGCACTTTCACCTGTAGCCTGGCTAGCACATTTCAGACACAGCTGACCCACTCAGTGGCTTCTAGGATTAGGAGACACATAAGCATGTTCAATCTATGGATAGTCCTTGTAAAGAAGATGGGAGAGCCAGTCTAAAAGAAGGAGGAGATGAAGGAAGGAGTGGCACCTGAGGGACAGAGCACCTGCTTTCTATGTGGATAATTCTATGTTCCATACTTTCCAAATCACAGTTTTCAAAAGGATTCCAGTTGTGACGTACACATCTGCCTGAAATCTTAAAATGTTATGGGTAGTCAAGGCAGTGACTACAGAAGGTAGTTTCTTACGTTTTCTGATGCCACCTCTGAAATTTGCACTTTGGCATATGGGGAGGAGGAGGAGCAATTTAGTAATGCCATTGAAAAGATAGGAAAGGCTGTCCTATCTGTACTTCGTGGCCATTATGGTACAGTTAAGAACAAGTTAACAGCCAAATGCTTACCCAATTTTTAATTGTGTTGACTACGTTAGATGTTTTATTGTTGACCATGCTTTCAAATGTACTTGTTCAGCGATTAGGTGTTTTTATTTTGATATTTAATTTCATTTGATTAGTGTAACGCTGTTATTATTCCATATTATGTTTATTGTTCTAATGTTTTGGTATATGACGGGCACTGAATATTTGGCTTTGTGTGTATAAACCTCACTGAGTCCCCCAGGAATGATAGGGTGGCCTAAAAATAATAATAATAATAATAATAATAATAATAATGATAATAATGATAATAATGATATTATTTTACTGACACAAAAACACAGTATGTCACAGCAAATGAGATATATATGCTAGATTTCATATCACAAAATCACAAGTCGAACACTTCCCAAGCGTCTAGGACTGTGTGATGTATTTTCGAATGATGTGCACAGATCCAAGTAGGTGGCCTTTTGCAGTTGACAAATCATGATTTTGTCGATGTTTATTGTTTCCAAATGCTGGCTGAGATCTTTTGGCACGGCACCCAGTGCACCAATGATCACTGGGACCGCCTGTACTGGTTTATGCCAGAGCCTTTGCAGTTCGATTTTGAGGTCTTGATAGTGGCTGAGTTTTTCCTGTTGTTTTTCCTCAATGCAACTGTCACCTGGTATTGGCAACATCAATAATCCAGACTTTTTTCTTTTCCACAATCGTGATGTCTGGTGTATTGTGTTCCAAAACTTTGTCAGTCTGGATTCGAAAGTCCCATAGTATTTTTGCATGTTCATTTTCCACATTTGTGGGTTTATGATCCCACCAATTCTTTACTGCTGGCAGGTGGTACTTGTGACATAAGTTCCAGTGAATCATTTGGGTCATCATTTGGGTGCCTCTGTTTGTAGTCTGTCTGTATGATTTTCTTGCAACACCGGAGGATATGGTCCATGGTTTCATCAGCTTCCTTGCACAGTCTGCATTTTAGGTCATCCGCTGAATTTTTTGATCCTGGCCTTAATTGCATTTGTTCTGATGGCTTGGTCCTGGTCTGCAAGAATCAGGCCTTCTGTCTCCTTCTTCAGGGTTCCATTCATGAGCCATAACCAGGTCTTCTCCTTATCAACTTTTCCTTCAATTTTGTCAAGGAACCGCCCATGCAATGCTTTGTTGTGCCAGCCGGGCAGCTGTCAGCTTTGGTTAGCAGTGCAGTTTTCTTGTACTGACTCTTTGTCTGCTGTGCTTTGAGACGTTTCCGATTACTGACTTCAATTAAAGCAGGTTCTTGGCTTTCCTTGACATATTCTGCCAGAGCGTATTTTTCTTCTTCAACTGCTTGTTTTATTTGTAAGAGTCCTCTGCCACCAGACCTTCTGGGTAGATAAAGCCAGTCAACATCACTACAAGGATGTAGTGAATTATGAATGGTCATGAATTTTATGGTTTTTCTGTCCAAAATGTCCAGTTCTGCCTGCATCCTGTTTATGATGCCAGCAGTATATCTTATGACAGGTATGGCCCAGGTGTTTATGGCCTTGATGGTACTGCCTCCATTGAGCTTGCTTTTGAGACTTTTTCTGACCCTTTGAATGTACTCTTTGCTGACCACAGTTTTCACATGTTCATGTGTGATGTTGTCCAGCTATAGTATGGCCAGATATTTATAGGCCTCTGGCTGGTGACACTTTATCGATTGGCCATTAGGCATATTTATGTCCTCACTTTCAATGATTTTTCCCCTCTTCAGTGCCACTGTCGACTATTTGTCCAAATCAAACTCCATGTTAATATCCGTGCTAAAGAATCGGACAGTGTTAGTCAGAGACTGGATTTCAGTTTTGGTTTTCCCATACAGCTTCAGGTCATCTATGTACAGCAGATGTGAAATTTTGTGAGAGCTCTGAGATGTTTGATAGCTGAGGTTTGTTTGTTTGTTTTTTTTAAGATTGTTAACAGATGGATCATGACAATGATGAAAAGAAGTGGGGACAATGAGCCTCCTTGGAAAATTCCTCTTCTGATGTTGACAAGTCCATACTTTTCATTTCCAGGGAACAGTTCAGTTTTCCAGTGCTTCATCATATTTTCAATAAAAGTGCCAACATTTTTACAAATCCCAATGGTGTCTAGGCACTTGATGATCCAACTGTGCAAGAGTGAGTCAAAGGCTTTTTTGTAGTCAATCCATGTCATGTGAAGATTGGCTTTTCGGCTTTTGCAGTTCTCCAGAATCATGTTGTCAATTAATAACTGGTCTTTTGTGCCTCTGCTTTTCCGTTTGTTGCCTTTCTGTTCATCTGGCATATTATTATTATTATTATAATTATTTGAAACACAACAAGATGAGTCCACAGCACACACTCTTCCCAAGTGTCTAGGACTGTGTGATGTATCGGTGAATAATGCGTGCAGATCCCAGTAAGGTGGCCTTCTGCAACTGGCAGATGGTAATTTTGTCAGCGCCGATTGTGTTTAAGTGCAGGCCAAGGTCTTTAAGCACTGCACCCAGTGTGCCGATCACCACTGGGACCACCTTGACTGGTTTGTGCCAGAGTCTTTGCAGTTCGATCTTTAAATCCTTATATCGTGCTTTTCTTTCCTGTTGTTTCTCTGCAATCCTGCTGTCACCTGGGATTGCGACATCAACTATCATTATTATTATTAATAATAATAAGAATAAGAATAATAATAATAACTGGGATGGAAGACATAATGAAGTCACCAAGGGGCCAAAGTTCAACGGCAAAGAGTGCCTGCTTTGCAAAGGGAAGGCCCCAAGTTGAATCCCTGGGAATTTCAATCAAAATAATGAGGTAGCAAGCAATGAGGAAAACCTCTCTACCCAAGTCCCTGAAAAGCTGCTGCTATTCAGAGCAGAAAAAACTGGTTAAACAATAATAATAATATTTATTTATACATTGCTTTATCTACCAAGAGGGGACTCAAAGTGGATTGACATAAAAGTATTAGTATTAGAGGCTGCAGTGGCACAACAGGTTAGAGCAGTGTTTCTCAACCTTCCTAATGCCGTGACCCCTTAACACAGTTCCTCATGTTGTGGTGACCCCCAACCATAAAATATTTTTGTTGCCACTTCTTAACTGTAGTTTTACTACTGTTATGAATCATAATGCAAATATCTGATATGCAGGATGTATTTTCATTTTCTGGACTAAATTTGTCACAAATACCCAATATGCCCAAATTTGAATACTGGTGGGGTGGGGAGAGATTGATTTAATCATTTAGGAGTTGTAATGGTTGGAATTTATAGTTTGCCTGCAATCAAAGAGTATTCTGAAACCCCCCCCCCCCACAATAGAATTGGCCCAAACTTCCCACACAGAACCCCAATGACCAACAGAATGACCAATGACCAACCTGTGTTTTCAGGTGGTCTTTGGCGACCCCTCCATCAGGGGTCCTGACCCCCAGGTTAAGAAACTCTGGTCTATACAATATGATACATGAACATGCATTTTAAAGTACCCTACTACTCAAATCACCTGATTCCACGAATGGAAGATACTGGAAATGTCCAAGTAGAAATGCCTTCCTGTAGTGGAGAGAGCAAAGAGGTGAAAACACATAAATTATAGTCCATGGTTCTGAACAGTGTAGTCTTGTGTATGTGTGTATGTGCGCGGGGAAGGAATATCTGGAAGCATCAAATTCCCGTTTGAAACGGATTTCTGGACCGCATCCATGCAAGGAGTGGGGTCAAAGAACCAGTGTACAGTCAAACTTACATGGGAAGGTCCAGATTTAATCCTTATCAAACTGCACATTTTTCTCATCCAGTACAGACAACTTGATTCTAGGAATGTCTACTCAGGAATAGGCTCCATGAGAATAGCTTTCCAGGCTTCAAAACCTTGGTTCGGTTTCATTCAGGGCATTGTATTGATATGTTATTTAAACATTTGAGGTCAACTGTTGGGGATAGCAACCTTCTTCAAGCTTTCACTAATATTTTTTAGTATATGACTCTATTTCCTTACTGTATTGTATATGTACGTTTTGATATACAGCTCTCCCTTTACTCTATGTTTCTTGAGGTTGTGGGAGGGGCTGCAGACCACATGATCAGATCTGAGACTGCTCAGACCTCAGACTGTATTACAACTCTTAGACTGTTAAGACTTTGGACTGTTAAGAGCAAACAGATAAACTGTGCTATCTGCAGAGAGAAACTACTTCAAACCCATCTGTAACTGGATTGACGAGTTATCTACCTGTATGCTGAATACCTGAAGGTTGTGAGTAAACCAAATATGTTAGTTTTAATGAAGTTTGCTTTTTTTGTCTCTTGAGAGTATAATATCGAAACAAGATATTTTATGGGAGAGGAGATGTTTTTGGGCACTGAAAAAAAGAACTTATTAAGATTCTTGTGGGTTTTTTCGGGCTATAGGGCCATGTTCTAGAGGCATTTCTCCTGACGTTTCGCCTGCATCTATGGCAAGCATCAGGCAGGCCTTCAAATGCTAATGAAGGTGGTCAGTTGAAACATTCACACCTAGCTCTAGCAGAGAAGAGCTCTTTGCCCCACCCCAGCCATTGTCCTATTTCCAACAGACCTCACTACCTCTGAGGATGCTTGCCATAGATGCAGGTGAAACGTCAGGAGAAATGCCTCTAGAACATGGCCCTATAGCCCGAAAAAACCCTCAAGAACCTAGTGATTCCAGCCATGAAAGCCTTCGACAACTTATTAAGAACTGCAATATTTTGTGCATTGGCATAATCTCTGTTCCTAACAGATCAGAGACATCCAGGTCATCAGTCTAACAACTGAAAACTAAATTGACTTGCATAAGTACATGTGGATATATACCACTAAAGAGAAATTTTTACTCAGACAAGTTTTTTTTTTTTTTTTGCTCTTCTCTAGAAGATCATACTTTTACATAAGGTTGTGATTTATAAATGCTTGTGATTGCCATTTTTCTCCAAAAGGTTGCGGAGATTCTGGAAAATGTGTCCAGCACAGTTTTATTTTTTGAGGGGTGGTAGAAAGGATTGATAGTTTAAGTAACCACTGATTAGAGACATCAACATAACAAGATAGTTGAGGAATATGGGGTCTGTGAACGGAAAGTTGCTCATTGTTGTCAGAGCTAGTGGGGAAACAGCAAGGAAAAATAAAGTAAGATTCCAGACATACCTCTTCCAGGGAGCAGATGTGACTGAGGGTGACAGATTTTTTTGTCTCTTGATCGCAGACACAGAGCCGGGCTGGTTGCAAGACCCGGCCCAGGTCAAGAATCAACACCTGTCAAGGACGATAGCAGGGAAAGCTTTAATGCCTGCAATGCCTGCCATCATACAAATTAACAAAAACAAACAGTAGATAGACAGCGGCAAGGCTTCCCTGTTTTTTCCCATTTCCGGCATCTGGAGGCTGTGCTCAACTCGGCCACATGGAGGTGTTGTTGTTCTATTTTTCCATGCCTGAGGAGCCTTGTTGTCCATGGATGCCTTGCTCGCATATCTTCAGGGGTGCCTTTTACCTCCCTGGGAAAGCGGTACCTATTTATCTACTCACATTCTGTTTTAGAACCGCTAGGTAAGCAGAAGAGCTAGGACTGAAAGTGGGAGCTCACCCCACCTGCGGCTTGAACTTCCAACCTTCCGGTCAGCAAGATTTTCTGTAGCTGGCAGTTTAACCTGCTGTGATAACCGTGGCTCTATTAAGACGGTTTTGCACAGCGAGTGGGTCACATTATTGCTTTGCTTGGCTATCGGAAGATCTGTGCACAATGGATTGTGGAAACAGAGTGTTGACTTCTTCTGTGACGGCTTCAGAAAACTTGTTCACCATTGGCAGAAATGTATCCAATTGTCTGGTGATTATGTGGAAAAGTGAATAGTGGTAATCAAAGAGCACATTCTAAGGATTATTTCTGTGTTTGATTTATTAAAATATTCCTATCCAAACTCAAGTAACGAAGGTGGAGGCATTTTCATTCAACCCTCGTATGTTGGAAGCCGGTTTGAGTCCGCATGGGAAGATAGGGCGAGATATAAATGAAGTTCTATTATTATTATTATTATTATTATTATTATTATTATTATTATTATTACAAAGCTATTGTTGATACCATATTATTTTTGTTGACCCTACTTTTCCACTTACATAGCTAGTTTACTTTTGAAATACGGTAAATATTAAAAAATATTTAACCTCCTGATGCCTCAATTAATGTAATGTTATTGGTATCTATTTTTATTTTGAACTTGACCAGTAGCTGCTGCATTTCCCATCCTCTGCCTATACTCGAGTCAATACGCTTTCCCGGTTTTTTGTGGTAAAATTAGGCATCTCAACTTATACTCAGGTCGGTTTATACTCGTGTATATACGGTATATTCCGTCCTATCTCCCTGAGGAAACTCAGGGTGGATTCCAACAAACCCCAACAAATTCCAACAAACCAAAAAGGCAAACATTCAATGCCTCAGTGCAAGCTGCATGGGGAAAACATTACAAAGGAAACCGAAAGCTGTAAGAATTAAATCAATTAAATCAATAAGGGAAAGGTTTAATTGTTGGCATCTTTAGTTAGAAAGGCTGGGGAAAACTAGTTTCCCTGCTATTTTTAGATTTGTATAATTTGTACTCACTGCTCCATGAATGATCATGTGTCAGAAAATCTATATATATTGTACACAATATTCCATAATATATCACAATTTAGAGAAGTATGAAAACTAAAGACAGAGTTCCCATTTCCCCATAGCCTAAGAAAGTGCAAAATGGATTGGTTCAGATTAAAATGCAACCAAGCGAATCTCTCCCACATCTCCAACAAGAAAAAGCAATGGTGTTATTTCGTAGACATATTACCAAAGCACCGAATTTTCACTGCTTCCTTACCAGGCACTGCTCCGTAGAGACAAAAGGCTGGCAGCACTCCATCACAAATCCCAGCCAAAAATCAACCAGCTCCTGTTTTGAGGACCATGTGTCTGGAGGAGCAGTGAAATGACTGTAGATCGTATAGGTTTCTTTGATAGAGGTCAAGTACCTGCACCAGGAATGGAAAGGGGATGAAGGGAAGAAGAAAGTAAGAGAAGAGGAACCTTCCGTTCAAAATATCACTACAGCCAGAAACCAAGGCTTCTATTTAACACTTCTGTGGCAAAACACCTCTGGACCCTCCAGGATCACAATGCACTGTACACATGCAGAGACCATTTTTGACGTGGACAGAAGGATCAGAATAGACAGAGAAGTGTCATTTTCACATATCTCCTTTAAAAATTCCACCACTTACCAGACAGGGGCATTGAGCTTGTAGAGTACCTCTGAAGCCTGGATTATTTTGTCCAAGTCGCCAGTTAAGATACTTGCGCCCAGGTAAAAACCCACATCCCAGTATTGTTGCATTTTTTCCAAGCAGCCCTTCCGGCCCAAGACACAACTCAACTTCACACCTAGAAAAAAAGGAAAGGAGAGAGAGGGGTTCGTTTAAAGATGAAACAAACCATGGAAGAGGAGGGTTTTATGAGGGATATTCTCAAATTTATTTAGGTCTTGATATAATAAACAATATTAAACTGCACTGGGTTCGTTAGTTACACGAATCCAGTGACCTTCCAGATATTTTATTTATTACTATCTTGGGAACCCGGCATTGCCCGGGTTATTTGAAAAAGTCAGTTTTTAATTGTGCAAAATGCATAAAGTTGTGGGTGAACTACAATTCACATCATGCCAGGTGAACCCCAAGAAACTCCCATCAATGATTGAAGTTTATTATGTTGGGCATGTTTGCTCTAGATCAGTGGTTCTCAACCTGGGATCCCCAGATGTTTTTGGCCTACAACTCCCAGAAATCCCAGCCAGTTTACAAGCTGTTAGGATTTCTGGGAGTTGAAGGCCGAAAACATCTGGGGACCCCAGGTTGATGCATCATTGGTGGGGTCTGTGTGCTCTCTGGCTGTAGGGTAAACTACAACTCCCACGATGGTGAGGCAGTCCCCCCAAACCCCTCCAGTAGATTTAATTGGTCATGGGGGTTCTGTGTGCCAAGTTTGGTCCACGTCCATAATCGGCGGAGGTCCCCACTTCTCTGGTTGGGGGTGTCACCTTAGATCCAATACTGACATTTAGGAAACATTGTGCAAACATCAATCACAAAGTAACTGCATGCAGTAACATCCTGCGGAAACTTACTGGCAGTACATGGGGTGCAGACCCAAAATTAATAAGAACATCAGCCCTGGTCTTACTCAACTGCTGAGTATTCCTGCCCTGTTTGGCACAAGTCTGCCCAAGTGAAGTAGGTGAATACAGCACTGAACAAAACATGCAGAATAATCACAGGATGTCTTAAACCTCCATCTGTTGATAGACTCCATAAGCTAGCTGGCATTGCCCCGCCCAATGCACGATGGGAAGTTGCTGCCAATTGTGAGAGAAATAAGATTGAACACTGTGAAAGCCACCCACTGCGTGGCTATCAGCCTCCTCCCAATAGACTCAAATCAAGGAAAAGCTTCATGAGAACCACCACTCCTCTTAACATTCACCCAGCAGCAGCACGAGTATACTTCTGAGCAGCTAAACCAGGAAACTCCAACTGGATGCCCCCCCCCCCCACAAGGGTCTTTCTCTAGGGACACTTGGAAGTCCCTGAACAGACTCAGAAACGGAGTGGGCAGATCAAAAGACAATCTGGCAAAATGGCACTACCTAGAAGAATCCTCCACCTTGTGCAACTGTGGAGCAGAACAGATAACTCCGCATCTGTATGCTTGTCCACAATGCCCTGTCTCACACATAGATGAAAAAGAACAGTTTAAAGCTACAGACAATGTGGTCGCTGTTGCCCGTTTTTGGTCTAAAATTATTTAGACACTTGTGTTCCCTCTATTTTATCAGTCTTACACTAAATTAATTATGCAATGCTATTGACATGAAATAAATAAACCAGTAGTTATTTTAACCACATATACATCTGTAAAAACTGTCACTGTTTCAATGATATTTTAGAATGAGGAGTCCAAAATTCTCATTAATACAAGAGAAAAGAGAAGGACCCCACACACCAATCTGCCGAAGCTGCGGAGAGGTTTCAAACTTGTGTCCAGCCGCAATGAGGAAGACAACAGAGTTAATTCCGGCATGAAGGCTTGGCTCCGTCAAAAAGGCCTTGTGGTACCTGAGGAGTTGAAAGCAAACGCACATCTCAGACTCTGAAAACTAAACATGTATTGTCTCCACTTTCTGATATGAAACTACCTCAAGATGTGTTTTCAAAGTACTGATCCTGAACAGATCCTGAACAAAATGTCATGAGAGGGTCTAATCATAATCATCATCATCATCATCATCTTTATTTATAACCTGCCACCATCTCCTCAAAGGGAACTCGGGGTGGCTGACATGAGGCCAAGCCCAAAATATTACAAGATGATTAAACACAAGATAATCAGGAAAATAAATCGTAACAAAATATATAAAATAAAAAATAAAATAAACAATATAAAATAGCATAATAAAACACAAAAAATAGCATAATAAAATCAAACTGATGAAAGATAAATAATCAATTAAAATAAAACACTAGGAAACAGGCACATAAAATCACTCTTAACAAAAGATTCCGCCCGGGCACTTCCAAGCCATTGAATGCTAATCAAAGTGATCAGCTGAAACATTCACAGCTAGCCCCAGCAGACAAAAGTCCTTTGTCTCACCCTGGTCTTTCCACAGATATATAAACCCATTTTTCCTACTTCCAACAGACCTCACTACCTCTGAGGATGCTTGCCATAGATGCAGGTGAAACGTCAGGAGAAAAATTGCCTCCAGAACATGGCCATATAGTCCGGAATAACGTACAACAACCCACTAGGAAATAATTAATATCCAGGTGAAGTTTACTCTGTTGCCATTTCTCTTCCTCACCAATAGAAAGCTTGGTCTCTTTTCTCTGTATCAGTGAAACCCGAATCGATGAACATATCCTTATAGATGCGGCCACACATGCAGTACAGGTCCGGGGCTGCCCCTTCAGGCCTCTCCACCAGTGGCAGGAGAACAGAAAGGGCCTTCTCACGATCGCCAGGCTGGTTCCGCCTGAAAAATTATCACAAAGAAAACATCAAGCATGAAGGAAACATTCCAGGGCCACAAAGGGTCAGCTCAACAAAACAAGGACAATCTGAGCAAGAGAGGATGTGATGCCCCCTTTTTATTTTACGGCTGGTCAAGGATAGCTTGGAGTTCATCTGCACAGTAGAATGAACAGGTTGTCACCATGGTTCTGTTAGATCAGTGGTTCTCAACCTTCCTAATGCAGCAACCCCCTAATACAGTGCCTGATGTTGTGGTGACCCCCAATCATAAAATTATTTTCGTTGCTACTTCATAACTGTAATTTTGCTACTGTTATGAATAATAATGGAAATATCTGATATGTTGGATGTATTTTCATCCACTGGACCAAATTTGGCACAAATACCTGACACGTCCAAATTTGAATACTGGTGGGGTTGGGGTAAGGGGATTGATTTCTCATTTGGGAGTTGTAGTTGCTGGGATTTATAGTTAACCTACAATCAAAGAGCATTCTGAACTCCACCCGCAATGGAATTGAACCAAACTTGACACACAGAACTCCCATGACCAACAGAAAATACTGGAAGGGTTTGGTGGACATTGACCTTGAGTTTTGAAGTTGTGGTTCACCTACATCCAGAGAGCACTGTGGACTCAAATAATGATAGATCTGGACCAAACTTGGCATGAATACTCAATATGCACAAATGTCAAGTTTGGGGGAAAGAGACCTTCACATTTGGGAGTTGGGATTTATAGTTCACCTACAATCAAGGAGCATTCTGAACCCCACCAACGACAAAATTGGGCCAAACTGGCGCGAGCCTCCCTCCAGCCTTGCATTCTCTCCCTTACCCAAGCAGGCATACCACGCTGCCATGCACCAAGCATGCCTGCTCCCCTCTCCCCACTTGGGAGTCTCAGAAGCAGCCCTCCCAATGATGGATCTGGACCAAACTTGACACATTCAATATGTCCAAATGTAAACATGGTGGAGTTTGGGGAAAATATACCTTGACATTTGGGAATTGTAGTTACTGGGATTTTTAGTTCACATACAACCAAAGAGCATTCTGAATCCCACCAACAATAGAATTGGGCCAAACTTCCCATACAGAACCCACATGACCAAGAGAAAACACTGTGTTTTCTGATGGTCTTTGGCGACCCCTCTGACACTCCCTCGTGACCCCCCCCCAAGGGTCCCGACCCCCAGGTTGAGAAACACTGTGTTAGAGAGACATGTCTCAGTATTGAATCTATGGGAAAATACAGTTTTGATGGACATGTGATAACACCTGGGGAATGACTGAGAAAATCATGATGAAATACCTAAGGAGCAGGTAGATATAGCTGAGCCATAATCATGTGAGGTTTATGAAAAGGGTTTGCATCCGTCATTTGTCCCTTACTGATGACAAGTCAGTAGGTGGTTATAAAAGAGAGATGAAATGCTTAATTTCTCCCCATGTGAATCTCGTGAATATCTCTGACTCTTGAGAATTGTTTGTAAGTACAAACCTGATTGTGGATCTATGTATCCTGACTGTACAGCTGTAAATATTGCAACAGTGAAGATTCAAGTTTCCTGATATTTTTGGATGAAAAAAATGAACCTGTGAGTTTACTAAACAGTGTGTGCATTGTACTCTGCTGGCCAGGTGATTAACTGACCAAAATATGTTTGCTGTGAATTGATCCTGCTAGGTTTTGCTTGCCTCTGTGGCACTTGCTTGTCCTCACTTACTTATTAACTTAGGCGATTCCTCGTTGTCCGAGTAGGATAGCCTTCCAGGATCAGTGTACAGTCCGTAGGTGACTGTGGAGCCCTATTCTTGATCTGCATCTTCTCCCACAGTAAGGGCATTGCTTTCCAGGTGGAAGGCGGTCCCAGTTGGGGTTGGCTTGATGCGCCTTCCTCTTGGCACGTTTCTCTCTTTCGCCCTCCATTCGTGCCTCTTCAAATTCTACAGCACTGCTGGTCACAGCTTACCTCCAACTGGAGCGCTAAAGGCCCAGGGCTTTCTGACTATGCCAGAGTTTTTAAGGTTGGCTTTGAGCCCATCTTTAAATCTCTTTTCCTGCCCACCAACATTCCGTTTTCCGTTCTTGAGTTCGGAGTAGAGCAACTGCTTTGGGAGACGGTGGTTGGGCATCCGAACAACACGGCTGGTCCAGAGAAGTTGATGGCGGAGGAGCATTGCTTCAATGCTGGTGGTCTTCCAGCATGCTGACATTTGTCCGCTTGTCTACCAAGAGATTTGCAGGATTTTCCGGAGGCCACGCTGATGGAATCGTTCCAGGAGTTGCATGTGACGTCTGTAGACAGTCCACGTCTCGCAGGCGTATAGCAAGGTTGGGAGGACAACAGCTTTATAAACAAGCACCTTGGTATCCCTATGGATTTCCCAGTCCTCAAACACTCTCTGCTTCATTCGGAAAAAAAGCTGCACTCGCAGAGCTCAGCCAGTGTTGTATTTCAGTGTCAATGTTGACTTTGGTGGAGAGGTGGCTGCCAAGGTAGCGGAAATGGTCAACATTTTCTAATGTTACACCATTAACCTATGTTTCTGGCATTGAAGAGAGGGATTGACTAGTTACTGCTGGAAGAGCACTCTTGCTTGTCCAATGTGCAACGGTTCTAGGGAGGTTGTGATGAGAAAACTATGTCACTTCACAAAGTTATCCCATGACAGGTTCAGTGAATAAGAGGTTTACCAGGTCATTATCTTTCTCTGGGAGCCCCTGGTAGTGCAGTGTGTTAAACTGCTGTTCTGCTGAACTTGCTGACTGAAAGGTTGGCAGTTCGAATCTGAGGAACAGTGTGAGCTCTCACTGTTAGCCCCAGCTTCTGCCAACCTAGCAGTTCGAAAACATGCAAATGTGAATAGATCAATAGGTACCACTTTGGCGGGTAGGTAATGGCACTCCATGCTCCATACTGGCCACATAACCTTGGAGGCCTCAAGGCTTTGCAGTACTAATCAAGATTATTAATTGCAACATCCACACTTACCTCCAACAGACAAGAGTTCTTTCTCCCACCCTGGACCTTCCACAGATATATAAACCTCCCTTGCTTAGTTTCCAATATACTTCACAACCTCTGAGGATACCTGCCATAGATGTGGGCAAAACCTCAGGAGAGAATGCTTCTGGAACATGGTCATACAGTCTGGAAAACTCATAGCAACCCAAACAAAAAGACTGCTTATTGAAGATTTTGGAAATGATAAATGGACAAAAGGTAGGGAAAAGCGTTTGAATAACTTTTTGGAAAACTGGGACCCATACTTAACTTTTATAACGAAGGGGGGAAAAAGAGAAGATAACATCTGTGGTTTTTGATCATTGTGTTTTTTCTTTCTGTATGATTGTTTGGCAGGAATGTTAACATTAGTCAAGTCACAATGAGGAAGTGAAGGATACTTTCATATTTCTGTGTTTGGCTTAGAAAGTGGGAAGTAAATTTGTAAAATGTCGCAAAGAGGAGCATTCACTTTGTTTGTTTTGGAGAGTTTTCACAGAATCATGGAGTTGGAAGAGACCACATGGGCCATCTAGTCCAACCCCAATCTGCCATGCAGGAAAAGCACAATCAAAGCACTCGCGAAGGATGGCCATCCAGCCTCTATTTAAAAGCTTCCAAGGAAGGCTTTTGTTCGGTTGTTTCTGTTCTTAAGTTTTGTTTTGTGTGTGTTATAAAGATTTATTTTTTTAAAGGCAAACAGATTTTGGCTCTCACACAAGTGAAATAAACTGTATGTCATTTGTTGTTATGCCAACAAATGCTAATTCTACTGCTAAGGATAGTGAGAAGGGATTGTGGAATTTTCTGCATCGTGTGCCAAAATAACTTGCCTGGCTTTGGGCACTATTCCCTTTGCCTTTGGTGATCAGTAGACCAGAGTTAGAGCGCTGCTTTGGCACTTTGCCTGAGGCAGAAAAATATTGAGAGGGGGTTACATCCTTGCCTAGTTTCCCCTTCCAGCAACTCTCTTTTAACATAAGGACTTTATTGGGTTGCTGTGAACTTTTAAGGCTGTATGGCCATGTTCCAGCAGCATTTTCTCCTGATTTTTCACCTGCATCTGTGGCTAATGGCATCCTCAGAGGTCTGTTGGTGATGAGGCAAGTGTATAGATATGTGGAATAATGTCCAGGGTGGGAAAAAGAACCCTTTTCTATATTCTTCGGGTCCAACCTATGTATAAGACCACATCTCTTTCTATGAATCAGTGCAGGCTCTGAGATCAACGGGGAGGCCCTTCTCTCAGTCCCACCACCATCTCAAGAGCAGTTGGTGGGGACGAGAGAGAGGGCCTTCTCTGTGGTGGCCCCACAGCTCTGGAATGCCCTCCCAAAAGAGATTAGATTAGCCCCCACCCTTCAATCTTTCAGTTCCAACCTGAAAACATGGATGCTCAGACAGGCCTTTCACCTTGAATAGGCTGAATGGGCCCATATGAAGCTGAAACTTGGCACCTTGTGTATTGACAGCAGTTAGTTTTATCTACTGCTGTTTTAAAATTGTATTATTTTGATTTTATGCTACATTTCTTGACCGGGGTTGTTGTTATAATTTTATGTGACTTGTTTTATACTTTTGTACCCTTTTAACCTGTTGTATGTTATATGTGCACCCTGGAGTGACTTGTAATCCGCCCCGAGTCCCTTCTGGGAGATGGTAATGGGATATAAATAAATTGTATTATTGTTGTATTGTCGAAGGCTTTCATGGCTGGAATCACTAGGTTGTTGTAGGTTTTTTCGGGCTATATGGCCATGTTCTAGAGGCATTTTCTCCTGACGTTTCGCCTGCATCTATGGCAAGCATCCTCAGAGGTAGTGAGGTCTGTTGGAATTAGGAAAATGGGTTTATATATCTGTGGAATGGCTGGGGTGGGGCAAAGAGCTCTTCTCTGCTGGAACTAGGTGTGAATGTTTCAACTGACCACCTTCATTAGCATTAGAAGGCCTGGCTGAGCCTGGGGGAATCTTTTGTTGAGAGGTGTTAA